TGATAAAGAAATGTTAGGTGGGGCAAGGGCTTGGAGGGGGGAATGGAGAGGGGCACAAGTGGGGGGATGGAGTACATCTGTAATACTGTTAACAATAAAAAATAAATTAAGAAAAAAGCGATGTTAATTTGAGAACATACAAAATTACCATTTTATGGATCAAAAGTGATACCATGTTGACAATTTTATATGGTTCACCCTACCACAAAGCATAGAGAACAAATATTAAAAGCACAAAGGGTACATAGATCTCTCTCCTATTTCAGTCTCCTGTTTTCTCTCCCCAAAGGCAATTGCTACTGCCAATGATTTGAAAAATAATTTTATACAATTTGAGACATATTTTATGCATATATTAATGTATAAACATATGGAAGCATGCTATGCACACTTTTTTTAAATATATATATTTTATTGATTTTGTACAGAGAGAAAGAGAGAGGGATAGAGAGTTAGAAACATCGATGGAGAGAGTTATCAATCAGCTGCCTCTTGCACATCCCCTACTGAGGATATGCCCACAACCAAGGTACATGCCCTTGACCGGAAACGAACCTGGGACCTTTCAGTCCCCAAGCCGACGCTTTTGGCATCTTTGTATCAACCGGTTTTGGCTATGCACACTTTTTAAAAATACATTTCTTTAACTGCATTTCTTAGAATCATTCCAACTAACCCCTTCATGTAATCAACCAGTCCTTATGCATATGCCTATTGTTTCCAGTGTTTTGAGGATACATAATGAGTATCCCCAGCACACATCTTTGTTATGTGCGAGTAGATGTACATAAGTTTCTACAAGGGGAATGAATAGGCTGAAGGGCTTGAGATTGTAAATTCTGAGAAATATTGACGAGTTCCCCTCAAAATGGGTAGCACTAATTTATATTCTCTTCAACAACACATTCTTCTCACTTTGTAGTTGACACTTTATATGTGTTAATCTCATGCCTTAGCTCATGACTTGCAGACATTTGGAGGCTCTAAATAGCTCATATCAATGAACAAAGCTGAACAAAATGGTGATGCTCAGAGTGCTTCCAGTGGCTGCTGGACCTCAGATCATGCCCCATCTCTCCTCCATTGCCATTGCGTGTGTTGGGTGGTGGTAAAAGTGCTGATGCAGACTCATTTCCCAGACTTCCTAGGTCAGTGGTCGGCAAACTCATTAGTCAACAGTACAACAATTGAAATTTCTTTTGAGAGCCAAATTTTTAAACTTAAACTTCTCTTAATGCCACTTCTTCAAAATAGACTCTCCCAGGCCATGGTATTTTGTGGAAGAGCCACATTCAACGGGCCAAAGAGCAGCATGAGGCTCATGAGCCGCGGTTTGCCGACCACTGCCCTAGGTCATTGGTTTCAGGTTAGGATTAGCCCACAGAACAGTGGGAGGGAGGGAAGCCAGGACATTCCATGTCTGGTGGCATTTCTAGCCTCTGTGACCCAGAAGGTTCCTCCCTCCAATGTCCTGTCTCCAGCTAGGTGCCTGGCCCTGGGCTCAGTCACACACCTGTTTCCTTTGTCTTTTGAGCCCAGGGTTTCGAGTAGAAAGCCCCTGGCTTGGGGCTGCCTTCCTGAGCCTTTTTACCTCTTCCAATATTATTGTAACTGGTTCCCTATCAACAATTACCACTATTGAACTTTGTATATTTAATTCCCACCCCCACCACACCACCTGAACTGGTCTGGTACCCCTGAGGTTGATAAAAATGAGGAGACAGGGCCACATTCTTATACTGTTGGCAGGAATATAAGTTTTGTAACTTCTTTTGGCAGGCAGTTTGGCAATATGTGTCAAGAGCTTTAAAAATGTGCATGCTCTCGCCCTTTCTCTTAGAGGTGCAAGTTGAAATATTTATAAGTGAAATGATGTGAGTCTGAGATTTGTTTCAAAACAATCCAGGGGAGAGGATAATTGGGACCTTACTAGGTGAAGTGAGGTTGGCCACGAGTGGGTAGTTGTTTAAACTGAGTAAAGGATACTTAGACATTTACTACACTCATCTCTTTACTTAGGAATGTTTTTCAGTTTTAAAATAATAAAAAGCTTCTTTCAGAAGCACAGTGTTGGGCCTTGAAGTCTGCTCTCTAGGAATTTTCTCTAAAGAAAAAAATCCTAATGTTAGAAAAGATTTATCTTTAAGGACGGTTCTTAACAGCATTGTTTATAATAAAAAACACTTAACCATCTAATTTTCCAACAGTGGGATGATCCTATGTTAATTTATGTTGCTCTCTTTTCCACATCTGTGAGTCCCAGCTGTTGATTCATTTTTAGCCACATTGCTTAATAATAAAGATAAATAACCAGGCATTGACCTATGGACTAAAATCCCTAAGGAACTTCATCAACTGGGTTTTGGGCTTGATCCCGAGTAGGGGGTGTACAGAAGGCAGCCAATCAATGGTTCTCTCTCAGCATTGATATTTCTGTCTCTCCTTCTCTCTCACCTCCTCTCTGAAATCAATAAAAATATATTTTTAAAAAAAGAACATAAAAGGGACTGATGCACCCTGTTTACTTAATGGCTGGGCTCCTGCCTGAAGACCACAAATGCCTCTTTTCTCTCATCAAGGGAAGATTGCGAGTTGTGTAGGCAGAATGGGCTTGGAGACCTACAGACCCAGGTTTCCCAGGTACAGGCTGTGCCTCTTATAGGCTCTGTGACCCCGGCAAGTTGTTCAGCTTCTCTGAGCTTCAGTTTTCTTATCTAGAAAATGAGGATGATAATATCTATGAGAGAGAATTGTCGAGGGATTAAATAAGAAAATAGGCAAAGCCTCTGGCACGTAATAGGTGATCAATAGTGGCTGTTCCTTCTTGCTTTTTGTATTAGAGGGGGAGAAAAAAACCCTCACACTTTTAAAGTTTACATAATTTTTTGGCCTCTCTCCAAAGTCAGTCTTGCACTCTGGACTTCAGACTGTCATTTGTGTTGAAAACCTACTATGTGAGCCCTAGGTGTAGCTCTAGGTGCTCAAGATGTATTGACCAATATGTATCTTACAACAACCTTTAAAGATGGTTTCTTTATCCCCATTGTTAAGTGAGCTCAATTACTCAAAATATTTAAGTAATTGCCCCAGGGATATTGGTTGAGAGGCAGCAGAGAGAAACCTCTAACCCAGATCCTGCCAACTCCACTATGTTGGAAACAAGGCTCATCCCAGTTCTGCCATCGGCCAGAGCCATGAGTGACTTAGAAGAATCATTAGCTTTATAGGCTGGAAGGGACCTTAGGAGGGCTTCCCATTTGATCTGTTCTGGTCTGTTTTCCAATGTTTATATCATTCAGACCAGAGCAGTGTTATTGTTTAATGACCCCTGGAAATGTTTTCCTATTTTGAAACTATGTAGAATTTATATGTGTGAGTGGCAGGAGGGCAAAGGGCTGACAATCTGTGTAGACTTTAAGGGAAATGCTCCTGTTGTGTGGCCAGGAGACCCACAAAGAGGACCTGTGATGTTGGGTTCATACTCTTGGGTATAGGGATAAGGTTTATAGGTCAGTTGTGTCCTAGAGAGAGTCTGTAATGTTTGATATGTCTGTGCTTGATAAATTATGTGTTGAGTGAGTAAATAAATAAATACATGTATACTCCATGGGGAAAGGTTAGTATGGTGCCTGGATATAGAAAGTGAGAGATAAGTGCCAAATTGATGATGTTGATGATGATGATCAAACGGACTCCGAGGCTTTCAACTCTGGATTGGCCACTGACAATGCTCAGTGTAGGTCCTGGTAAAATGACATTCTTCCACTCCACTAGCCATTCCTCCTTGCCACCAATCCTAAAGAAGCTCTAAAGAACAATGTTTTTACAAACTCCAACTCCTCACTTTTTGTTCTTTGTGGAATTATGACAAGGCATTGGGGACAGCGTATTCTCTCTTTCCAGCTATTGCAGTAAAAAACTTGAAGATTCCTCACATTAACATGTAAATGATTAACAGCAGTATCATCCCTGAGCCCCACTAATTCCAGCCATGTGGTCTCTCCCACTCTCTATGATTTTCTCCTATCTTTGCTTTTATACATGCTGTTATCGTCCTACAGTGCCTCCATTCTGCCCTGTTTTCTACCTAAAGATACTCATTCTAAATTCAAGCTCCAGTATCATCCCTTCTATGAAGCTCAAACTAAGTTCTTCCAGCAGTTTCTTCCTCTTCTCTCTGATTTTTTCCTTTTCATTCTTTCCATTTGAACCTTTATCAAAGGACAATGTTCTTATGCAGACCTCTCTCTCTCAGGTTAGAAATGAGCTACTCAAGATTGGGGGTCCTACATATGGTGGCTGGCAATGGGCAGCTCTGACTTTGCCAGTAGAGGGTGTTTATCTAGCATGTGGACTTGGCTTGGAGACTCCTTAAGTTCAAATCCTACCTACTATCTGTGAGACCCTGACAGGTGTCTCATCTCATGCCCAAGGTGTCCCACTTGAAATCAGAACAGTGAGCATCAAATACCACAGAACAAGGCATGAACGTGTAAACATAGGAGTTTGGAGTGGGTCACCTTATGGGATGACTTGGGATGGATGGGGAACAGGAAATTGTCCCTTAGATATTTTTTTTTTCACTGACACATGGAGGCCTGCTTATGAGTTTATTGGAACTAGACGCAGACACACAAACAATGGTTGAACATTTTTGAAAAATGCACAGAGCTTTATTAATTTTGTTAATTAAGCAGAACTGCATCGTGCTAAAATCAACCCCTCTGGCTCATTCAGCTCAAAGAGTGGTTGTTACTGCTCAGATGCACACAGTTTTGTGGGCTATGGAAACACTGCAGTCAACAACCTCTGAAAATCACACCTAAGGAAATGACTATAAAGCAAATTCCAAAACTCAAAAACAAAAAGTTACAAATTCTGTTTAAAAAATTCCCTGCATGCTTATAGAAATGTTCGTTTCACAAAGAACTTGGAGAGCTTTACAGCATCCTAGAGGCTTGGCCATGTACCTAATGGAGATCTGTTCTCCTTTAACCTCCTTAGCATGATTCACTCTGCACCATGGTGAAGAAGAATTTGCAGAAAGAGCTCCAGGACTCCCCACAGTATTCCAGGGCTGCTTTATTCTTGTTCACTGCATCTGGGTCCTCCAGACACTCGGGATTGATGGGGGACTCTGCTGGGCCAGCGAGGGTATTCTCTTTGATCTTGTTAGGCTTCACGAGGGAGGCCTCATTGGTCATGTTCTGCTCCCTGGGAGAGGGCTCCATTGTCTCCTGGCTGGGTTTCTTTCCAATTAGAGTAGAGGTCACCAACTTGAGATTGGATCCTGGGAACTTCTTTCTGCAAACCCTGGTCTTCAGGATGCTCTTGGAGTCCCCACAGATGGCTTTCTGAGTGCGCAGACTCCGGCCAATTTGTTTCCAATAGGCACCCTTTTTGGTTGACTCTAGGCATGAGGTTGGATTGCCCGTAAAGGAACAGGAAAACTTGTTATCCTGTCGGGTGCAATCGACCTTCAGGACAACGCCCTCCTCTTTCTCAGTCACCACCCATCTGCAGTCGGCCTGGTCTTGGGTGACAAACTTGCCTTTGGCCAGGTGCTTCGGTGGCTGGCTTTTCTGCTCATTCCCGGGCTTGCCCAACATCTGTGTTTTATCTGTGGTGGCTTTGCTGCCACCTCTATTCTTTACTTCCTTTTTTCCCCCCACCAAGAATACCTGAGTGGCCAGAAGGAGGAAAGACAGCAAGGTGAGGCTGTGGATCCTCATGTCTTCAGTTTGGTGGGAACCTGTTTGACAAAAGGCAGGTGAGTCAATGCTGGGAAGTCCCCCCGCTCCCCTGGCACATGCCTGCCTGCCTAGGAGTAAATTCAAGAATCCTTCCGATTCTGGAATTACTCGACAAGCAGTCTGTCTATTCACATTTCTGCTTGACTGGAGTCTTGAATGTGAAAATTTCCTACCCTTCATTCCTTCCTTCACCACTCTCTGAGCCCCATTCATTCACTCATTTATGCCTTCATTTGCTCTTTCACTAATGCTTTTATTCACTCATTCAATGGGAATTTATGGAGCACCTGTTGGATGCCACACACTAGACTATATGTGGAATATACCAAGGTAAATAAGAAAGTTTCACATCTTAAAAATTTAGAGGCAGCTCTTTGGGGATTCTCAATAGTATTGACCAGGAGTCTGTCCAAATTGTGTCCCCGCTTGATCTTAGACAAGTCACCCTCCCCCTCTGGGTCTCAGTTATTTTGTCTGGAAATCAATGTGTTGCATGAGATAACTGCCCACTCCTTCAGCTCTGATGTGCTGGGCTTCTATATCACAATTCTACATGGACTCAGATGACCACACTATGAGAAAGGACATGGGAAGTGACATGCAAAGTGATGTTTGACCCAAGGTTAAATATGCATGAGACTTGTACACTCCAAAATGGGTGGGTTTGTGAGGAGGGGCAATTGGGATTAAATAAGAACCCAAGAAAAGGCATATAGAAGGGGAAATCATTCAGCTTGCCTGAGCAAAGCTGGGTAGATAGGAGTGAATTTTCACCAGAGCATTTAGACTGCTGTAACACAATGCTGGGCATATAGAATACCCTTAATCAATTCTTTTAAAAAAAATCATTGAATGAATAAATGACCTTAAATACTATGCCAACCTACATGGATTCTGTCAGGTAAGCAACAAAACTACCCTGGAAGGAGAAGAGAAATATTATTTCTGTGCACTTGACCAGTATCTCACTACCTGGTTGATCCACACAAGAGTGCTTCCTGGCAGATAATATAAATCTTTCCAGTTAACAGATGTGGCAGTTAAGACTCAAAATGACAAATAAATTGTTTAAGATCCAATGAAGGGCAAGTGACAAAGCGAGGACAGGCAGCCAGAACTTACCTCTCTGGTCCTTTATACCACCCTCCTCACCTTCAACTTACTCTGCCTTTCAAAAATATTGGCAAGAAATAAAAGAGCAATCACGAACAGCTCAGTGTTCAGTTTGGCTTACTTCATGATGACAAGATGATTCATATTATCAGTGCTCCATTTTAAAAGAAAATACCAAATTTTATTTAAACAAACAAACAAGCAACAAATAAAAAGGCTGGCCTAGGAAATGGCCCTGATCTCATTTCCAGCCTAGACATTCTGACCTGCTATTCAGATTGAGAAAGGGGAAGACAGTCATAGGCATGTGGGGTCCCAAAGAAAAGTGGGGCATGAGGTTAGGTATACCAGACGAAGACCCGCTCATTCCTCATGGCATTGAGACTCCTGCTGAAATCCAGACCCCAGAAACATGAGGTCCTTGGGGAAGCTGGAAGTGGAGCAGGCAATCACACTCTTAAAGATCTAGGCTCTTACCTTGTTCTGAGTATGCAGGTGCAGTGCAATCCCGGGTGCCAGAGCAAGCTTGCAGGCTTACAGCTGTCTCTTCTGCAGTGCAAGGCAGGGGAGACCCTTTTTATAGGAGCCCAGGCAGACAGGTTTTCACAGGGCACATACCTGTGCAGCTCTCTTTACACTCCTCCCAGCCACACCCCCTTGGCGGAAGTCAGCGCCTGCAGGGAAACTGGTTGGTGGAAAGTGGGTGGAGGGTTACACACAGGGCATTAGACTACACACTCCAAGCCCTTCCTCTTTCCCCAGCCGCCAGTTTGGGAGGACAGCTCAGCCTCGCGAAGACCCTCCTTTGATGGGACTCCTTGATGCAGCAATATCTCTGGGGAATATTATAAACCACAAAAATAATCATAGCTGCCAAGCACTGTGCTAGGTCTATTTACTGAAATATCTCCATTCGTTCTCGTCACATCCATTCTATGATATGGGAAGCTGTGATTCACCCCATTTTACTGATGGAAAACTGAAGCATGGCGATATTTAGGGTTTGTCCAAGGTCACACAGCCAGAAAAGTGAGGGGCCCAGAGTTAAATCTGGGACTCCCTGTATCCATTTTCCTACCTGCCATTCTCAGTAAATGTTGGGTTTATGAGTGGATGGTCTGGGAACACATCTGAGTCCCTGTTTTCTCTGAGGCACCTGAAGTGACTGTTGGGCGGAGGAATCCAGGGGCTCCGAATGGCTGGTAAGAGCAAGTTCCTGATCTTGGGATTTCTGCTGAAAATAATCAACTTTGGGTCCACGCTCTGGCCAAATTTTTTTAAATCTTTTTTTATTTTATTGACATTTTACAGAGAGGAAGGGAAAAAGATAGAGCTAGAAATGTCAATGAGAGAGAAACATCGACCAGCTGCCTCTTGCACACCCCCTACCGGGGATGTGCCTACAGCCCTTGACCGGAATCGAACCTGGGACCTTTCAGTCCGCAGACCGACGCTCTACCACTGAGCCAAACCGGTTTCAGCTCATTCTGGCCATTCTTTGATAGGCAATCTCATACTGGAATTATTTTTTAAAAATATATTTTATTGATTTTTTACAGAGAGAAAGGGAGAGGGAGAGAGAGTTAGAGACATTGATGAGAGATAAACATCAATCAACTGTCTCCTGCACACCCCCTACTGGGGATGTGCCTGCAACCAAGGTACATGCTCTTGACCAGAATTGAACCTGGGTCACTTGTGTCTGCAGGCTGATGCTCTATCCACTGAGCCAAACCAGTTAGGACAAAGCTTTCACTTAACCCCTGTCATAGCTGTCATATTACCTTTCCTAACCTCTGTGTGTGCATCTACAGATTGAGGACAATCAAAGTACCTCCCTTAAGTTTTCCTACTAAATTATTTATGGGCATAATGTAAACGAGGACAATTTGGTTCATAATGGGGACTCCATCTGTATTTTTTTAAATATATTTTTTATTGATTTTGTACAGAGAGGAAGGGAGAGAGATAGAGAGTTAGAAACATTGATGAGAGAGAGTCATCGATCAGCCGTCTCTTGCACACCCCCTACTGGGGATATGCCCGCAACCAAGGTACATGCCCTTGACCGGAATCGAATCCTTCAGTCTCCAAGCCAACGCTCTATCCATTGAGCCAAACCGGTTTTTGGCCCATCTGTATTTTTAAAAAACAGACATATTTTGTTTTGATGTTAAACATGGAGAAGGAGACTCACTTCCCAAAAGAAGATGTGAACCTCATTATAATTTGCCACCTCCCTTTTCATATCTGGGCACAAGAAGTTGTAGTTCTCTTCTTAACTCAGCCATAAGAAGAACAATAGTACACAAAAGGTAATAAATGGCAACTGACCTGCCTTTGGGACTGAGATACTAAAGAGCAGGGGGGACTGAGGCAATCAGGGTAGGTCCGAGTGGTAAGATCAGCACTTAGCACCAGTTGGCTGAGAACATGTGGCCTTGGGGTTGGTATTTTCAGAAGTCATATTTTTTTTATTATATTATATATAATATAAATATTTATATTTATTATATATATTTATTATATATATATTAATGGAGAGTTCTTGAACTTTAAGAAATGCCCCAACATCCAGATGTGAGTATATGAAATTGAGCTGCCATCTAATTGAAATTTTTAAAAAGTGCTGGCCTGGCCCATAATAAAGACACCAGAAGTCCTAATTGTGGTTGGATTCCTCTCAAGCTGTGGATGTTGACTGGTTTACTCAGTGCTGTCGGGTGCTTCTCCTTTTTCCGCATCCCGCACAGAAAGGGAGAAGGACAGGTTCCTGAGTGGAGGAGCTGGGGATTAAGAAATAAAAGAAATAAAGAGACAAGAGGCAGAAATAGATTCATAAGCTGGGTGCCAGGTGGATGCTGTCACTCTGATGGAGGGACAGTCAACCCTCACCACAGACAACACAGCACATTTATTGATTTCCAGAGGGGGTTTAAGGTCAGAGAAGTTTGGGCATGCCCAGGTCCTATTCATTCCCTCATTCCTGGGATTTAGTATATCAAGACCTGGGTAAGTCAAGGTCCTACCATGTTTCCCCGAAAATAAGACAGTATCTAATATTAATTTTTGCTCCCAAATATGCGCAAGGTCTTATTTTCAGGGGATGTCTTATTTTTCCATGAAGAAGTATACGGTACACATTTATTATTAAATGAAAATAAAGGAAATTTATTACCTGTATATGGTACGGTAGTATGGTAGTTGTCAACACAAACCAGACAAACTGTGAATCCTACAGTCTCAAGAATTTACTCATTTATTCAATGACAATCATGTCATCATCTTCTGGAACATCATCATAACAATCTAATTCCTGAATTTCCTGGTGAATTTCTTGTAACTCCATTTCTTTCAGAATCAGTGGACCAAATCTCTCATGTTTAGCCGGGGGGGGGGGCTTATTTTCGGGGGATGCCTTATATTTCACTCAGAAGGAAACCTGTAAGTAGGTCTTATTTTCGGAGGATGTCTTATTTTCGGGGGAAATACGGTATTAGTTACTCACTCCAAGCACACGGATAAAGATAAGAAATCTGTACTGATAACAGTCTCTGACTTTTTGGGAAGTTTTTTCCGGGACGGCCATATTCAGTCACCTCAGACTCAGCTGACATTAATTTAAAGGTCATCCATGAGCATTCCCAGGGGGCCCTCTACAACTGAGAGGTTCAAAGGTTCTTTTCATAATTGCCACCGGAGATGGCCATTTCCCCAAGTTCTAAGTCTCTTATAAAATCAGCTCTCTGAGAGATCCATCGCCATTATTCCGACCACCATCTTATAGAACACACCCTCCCCAAATAGGCATTCACAGTGTGGTGTTTTAGGAAATCACTTGGACATAGACAAGATAAAGCAGCTTT